GTGTGTCTGTATCTTTGTCTGTGTGTGTGTGCGCGCGTGTGTGCATGTGCGTGTGTGTGTGTGTGTGTGTGTCTGTATCTTTGTGTGTGTGCATGTGCGTGTATGTGTGTGTGTCTGTATCTTTGTGTGTGTGTGTGTTGCTGGTGTATGAGTCATCAGGACGACACACTCACGGTGTCCCAGCTGTTGGATTGTGTGTTTTACAGCTTCATATCTTTGATGTTTCGTGTCTGACATGGATGTTGTGCGTCTGTGTGTCTGTTCTAAAAACAGACTTTGGTCTATCAGGGATTCAAAGCGTCGCAGCAGAATTAGAAGTCTTGTGTTGTTTTAGCAGAGAGGAGCTGCTGAGGAGTTGGCAGCCAATCGCTTCAGTCGCAGATCGCAGGGCCATGATTCATCGGAGAGCGAAGGGGAGGAGCTTGTGTCTCCTCCGAAGAGGCAGAAAGTTCAGGTGTGTTTCGTTTCATCAGCTGCTTACGGTTACGCTGCTTTGATTCAGATTCTGACTTTGTTTCCCTCGTCAGGATTCGGCCTCGACTCCCAACCCTCCCACATCGACACACTCCACCGACAGCTCGGCTCCTTCCACTGTCCCGCCCCCAACCTCTGCTGCCAGCCAATGCCGCGAGAGCGACAACGAGGACGGCCAGTCGCAGGGCAGCAGAAGTTCTGTGGTGGGCAGCCTGGCCAATAGCAGCAGCAGTCTGAGCAGCGGGCGGGACATCGACCAGGACAACCGGTCGTCCTCCCCCAGCCTGTCGGCCTCCCCCCTGGGCAGCCTGGACTCAGACTCGGATGGACCCGACTCACCCAAGCAGGGTGACAAAGGGAAGGAAGGCAAGGTGTCAGGGGAGGACAGGAGGCGGGGGGAGGAGTCTTGTGGAGACGAAAAGAGAGACGTGGACGCCCGATTGGAGGACTGTCCGACCCTGAAGCCCCCCTCCACCCCTTGCTCCACCCCGTCTGCCGACAGGAAGTCTTTCTTCTCCCTCGACTCCAAGCTCATGTGTAAAGTCGAGTATGGCAGCGGTGAAGCGGTCCTCAGCGGCGGCAGGATGACCTCCAAAGCCAGTTCTCAGTGCATCACCAAGACGACCATCTCCGGGACAGATTTCCCCCACAACAGCCCCAACCTGCCCCACCCCCTGCCCCCACCGCTGCCCCCTCCTCCGGCCCTGAAGCCCCTGGAATTCGGCGGGCAGGTGGAGGTGAAGGCTGAGCGAGACAAACCGGACAAACCAGACAAACTGCTGGACAAAGCCCAGTCTGCACCCCCCTCGCTGCTGCCCCAGACTCCCCCTCAGGCCCCTGCCCACCACTACAGCGCCCCCGGCTGGCAAGGTGGCACGGCAACCGGTTGCCAGGGGAGCTGGGGCTATTCCCGTTACCCTGGCAACCACCACCCGCCACAGCCCCCAGTGCAGCAGCAGCAGCTTCCCTCCGTCTACAATCCCCCCTCTGCCCGACACTCTGCCTCCCACCCCTCTTACCTTCCTCACCCTCACCCCCATCCCCACAGGGAGTACCTGCCCAGGTACACTGGAGGAGGGGGGGACCGAGAGAGGGGCGCGGCAGGAGACAGGGAGCGGGGAGTGAGGGGGGA